TATAAAAGAATCAAGTCAAAATGGAAAATTTAATTTTTTTTACATATTAAATTAGCTTGGCCACTTGATTTTGATAAATTTGTTAATTTATGTTTTTAGTACTTTTCGGGTCTCGAAGAAGCAGTCTACAGGAATATTACAGCTTGCAAACAATTTGCTGATACTGTAAGGAGTGCATACGGCCCTAATGGCATGAATAAAATGGTCATTAATCATATTGAGAAACTGTTTGTAACAAATGACGCAGTAACAATTGTCAATGAATTAGAAGTAGAGCATCCAGCTGCCAAGTTATTAGTCTTGGCATCAAAAATGCAAGAAGCTGAAGTAGGAGATGGAACAAATTTCGTTATCATCTTTGCTGGAGAATTGCTTCATGCAGCAGAAGGATTGCTTCGTCTAGTATGTTGTTTTATAATATTTAATTACATTGATGTACCAGTAAAGTTCTCTTTTTTTATTTAAAATATAAAATATTTTTCCAGAAATGTGATAAATAATGCATTTAATAGAAATAAATTATATTTTAATTATATTTTTTTATTACAGGGTATTACAACTTCAGAGATTATTGAAGGTTATGAGAATGTCTTGAATAAAGCACTTGAAATCTTACCGACTCTAATTGTTCATGAAGTAAAAGATGTACGAGACGAAGAACAAGTGAAGAAAGGAATTAGGAGCACTATCATGAGCAAACAGTATGGAAATGAGGACATCCTTGCTTCTCTCGTCATCAAGGCTTGTATCTCTATTTTGCCAGAGAAGACAACATTTAACGTTGACAACATACGAGTTTGCAAAATACTCGGGGGTGGTTTAAGTAACTCCCAAGTAATGCAAGGCATGGTATTTAAGCGTCAAGTGGAAGGAGACATCACAAAGCAAACCGAAGCAAAGATTGCGGTTTACACTTGCGCTGTGGACATCATTCAGACCGAGACCAAAGGTACAGTGCTGATTAAAACAGCTGATGAGCTATTGAAATTTTCGCGTGGTGAGGAATCGTTGTTAGAAAACCAGATCAAGGCAATCGCTTATAGCGGCGCTAAAGTGGTTGTGTCCGGTGGAAAATTTGGCAACATGGCTCTGCACTATATGAACAAGTACAATCTGATGGCTGTTCGTATCCCGAGCAAGTTCGACATCAGGCGACTTTGCAAGACCGTCGGTGCTACCGCGCTGTCAAAACTGGTAAATTTTGGCCCTGATTTCTCAATTCCGCTAGACATTTTAGTATCTTGCATAACTTCATCTGATATACAATTATAGATCTATTTTTTATAGCTTAATTACTTTTGGAATTTAAAGTGAAATAAATATATGTCTGATATTTGATAAAAACAAGAAAATTTAAAGCTGGTACAGTCTGTTCTTATTTCAAGACCGACGTCTTAAGATGCTAATATAATCTTGTGATTAAGTAATGATATCTGAAAATTATATTTAAGACTCTTCATTATAAGAACCTATCATGAGTATTGATGTTAGTCCAATATAGTGCCAAAATAAAAAATAGATCTAATGTTTTAGAATAAGCTTTTTAAGCTTTAGAATAAGATTTTACAATAATCAATCAATAATATATCAATAATTTATTTTAAAGGTACCTCCGACGAAAGAAGAGTTGGGATATGCCGATACGGTATACATAGACGAATTGGGAGACACTATAGTGGTAGTATTTAAACTGGAGGGAAAAGAGAGCCGCGTCAGCACCGTGCTTGTGCGTGGCTCGACCGAGAATTATATGGATGATATTGAGCGCGCAATTGATGATGGTGTCAACACCTTCAAAGGCATTACGAAAGACGGTAGATTTGTTCCTGGTGCAGGTGCTATGGAGATCGAGCTTGCTGCACAATTGGCGGCGTATGCGGATACGCTACCCGGTCTCGAGCAGTATGCCGCACGCAAATTCGCCACTGCCTTAGAGATATTCCCGAAAACGCTGGCCGAGAGCAGCGGTATACGCGCGTCCGAACTTGTATCAAAGTTATATGCAGCACACAAAGAAGGAAAGAAGAACTACGGTTTTGATATCGATGTATGTCTCTCTCTCTCTCCCTCCCTCTCCTTCTTCCTCCCTCCCTTCTATTTGAATTCTTATGATGATCTTAGGATTGTCTTTCTTGAAATCTAAGACATTTATATGGATAATTACTTCAATTCTATATTTTTTTTCCAGGGTGAGAGCGCAGCTTTGATCGATACCATCGAAGCCGGAATCTTGGATTTGTATCTGACAAAGCAATGGGCGATCAAATATGCAGTCGGTGCGGCGTGTGCAGTTCTCAAAGTAGATCAAATCATTATGGCAAAGCGAGCGGGCGGTCCGAAAGTTCCAGCGGGAGGCGTTCGCGAAGAAGACGATTAATAAGTGAACGAATCGACAGCATAATTGCAAACTTTCATATGTCTTATTAACATATTATTAGTTTCTGAAAAAGTTATTGGAATAGAGCGAATAAAAAATAAACACCGTGTCTCTGCTTAATTCGCCTAATTAAAAAGGAAAGAAATGTACTTTCTATTGCATGTTTGCTCATTTCTGGAGGTGGGCAAAAACTTCTATAATTTTATATTTTCCATCTGTTGAATTTCAAATTATATTAATTTTATATTGTATTAATTTAAGATTCAACAGATGCACTGGATAGATATTAAGCCAAGTATTAAATAAACTTGTTAATAAATATAGTATTCAGTACCATTTTTTCTCTGTTAATTTGATAGAATATAAAAAAATAAAAATCACATAATAAATAAGAATCGTAATTAATAATAAATAAATATGTTGCAAATAATTTGGTAAATTGTACAATAAATTGTCAGAATCTGTAGCAACATTTATTTGGCTACTAAAAAATCAAATTATTGTATGGATGATAAAATTCAATAATAAAATAGATCTGTAAATATATATATATATATATAAAGTCAAAAAGTAATTTTCGAAAAAATTTCAGAAATAATATTAGTAAAAAGAAATCCATTATTTTTGCATGAAATTGAATGGAAAAATAATGGATTTCTTTTTACACCTAATATTATACAAACATTGAATACACTTGGAAGTTTTCCAATCATATATTGTCAATTTAAGGTTTCATTTAGCAGAAACAAACTAAACCCTTCACCATCTCTACCGATTTTATCGGTGTCTTCTGTTCTTTGTAAAATAAAATATATTCGCTTGCAAAAAAACGTAAAAAAATTAATCAAAACAATTATATCATATATTTGAAAAGCTGGATGTATTACAAAGTTAAAACTAGATATATTATAAAATTCAATACATTTATTAAAATTATTACAGCGTGGTAAGGCATAAAATTAGATGTATTACAAAATTCAGTACGACTATTACAGTAATGGTAATGACAATCTAATAAAAATTCTTGTGTTAACATTAATAATTAATACAAAATTAAAATATAATGTGCATTATTAACTAATATTAACTAATATTAAAAAAGATAAGTAACACTTTCAAAACGCTTATATTACAATTAATAATTAGTTTTTACTTCTATATATGTATATATTCTTTCTATATATGTATATATAGATGTAACCATTTATGTTTAACAACTTTACAAGCAAGGTTGAGTTCGGAAAAGTGTTGCAGCCGTTTTGTCCACGACTGTACATATAAGAAAAAGGATTACTTATAAGAATTT